TGTGCGCTACCACACCCGGCTAATTTTTTGATTTATTGTAGAGATGAGGTCTCGCCAAGTTGCCCAGGCAGGTCTCGGACCCACGGGCTCAGGCCATCCACTCACCTTGGCCTCCCAAGGCACGGGATTACAGGCTGAGCCACCGAGCCCGGCGAACTTCCGCTTTTGACAGGGTCCCCAGTCAGACTGGATCAGGGCCCAACCTAGGCCCGTGTGACCTCACTGTGCAACCACCCTATTTCCAAATAAAGTCACAGCCTGGGGCACGAGGGGCTAAGACTTCAGCATATCAATTTAGGAGGGACATAATTCAGACCACAAGTCCCTAGTAACCCACACCCAGAATGACACTGCATGGACCCCAGCAGAGGTGAAGGGCTGACCCGAGCACAACCTGCCAGCCTCGGAAAATGTGCTTTTTTGTTTTTGAGTTGGCGTCTCACTCCGTCGCCCAGGCAGAAGTGCCGTGACACACTCGCGGCCACTCCAGGGTCGACCCGCTGAGCTCTGGCCATCCTTCCACCTCAGCCTTCCAAATCGCTGGAACTACAGGTGCGCGCTACCACGCCTGGCTAATTTTTTGTGATGTATTGTAGAGGCGAGTTCTCACCAAGCTTCCCGGGCTGGTCTCGAACCTGCGGGCTCAGGCCATCCACTTGCCTCGGCTTCCCAAAGTGCTAGGGTGACAGGTTGAGCCGCTGAGCCTGGCCACTTTTGTTGTTGTTAAATCTGTTTTAGATACTAACCGAGCACCCCCCAGGGTGTCTCCACCCCTTCATCAGGGGCTGTCTGTGGGTCCTGGAGCATCGAGTGCAGAGGTGAGTGTGACATCGCCCTAACTACCTGCTCCGGGCAGGTTCACCTGCCGAGCCTCAGTTTGCTCATCTGCAAAATGAGAGTAGTGCTAACATCTGCCCCCATTTCATTCCGGACACGCGATAAAATCCACAGTGAAGCTGGGCTCGATGGCTCAGCCTGTAATACCAGCACTTTGGGAGGCTGAGGTGAGTGGATGGCCTGAGCCCGCGGGTTCGAGACAAGCCTGGGGAACTTGGCGAGCCCTCATCTCTACAATAAAATCAAAAATTAGCCGGGCGTGGTAGCGCGCGCCTGCGGTTCCAGTTACTCGGAAGGCTGAGGCGGAAGGATCGCCGGAGCCCAGCAGGTCGAGGCTGGGGTGGCCGGGAGCGGCCGCTGCACTCCAGCCTGGGTGATGGAGCCAGACTCCGACTCAAAAAAACAAAAACAAAAAACGGACTTTTCCCCAACTGAACAAAATAAAGACAACCATAGTCTTTCACATGAATGTATGTATCTGGGGTGACTTCAGCTACTGTCAGGGAGATGTGTGCACTGGTGGGGGTTATCTCACTCTCTGCCTCCAGGCTGGACTGGTTTACCCAGACTCTGTTTTTGCCCACGGGCCCAGCTGCAGGGCTGGGCAGGCCCAGTTTCTGGTGCAATCCTGATGGCAGGACCTCAGCCCTGCCTCCACCCACTGTGCTGATAATTGGGTCATCCTCTCCAGACCTGACATCCAGGCCCAATCACCGCTGCTCCTAATTGTTCCCTGAAGGTGCCCTGGAGCTGGAGTGCCACAGTGAGCCCTGCGGGTCCACAACACCTCTAAGTCCAGCATCTCACCTGCCCCCGCCATGTTTACTCAACCCATAGGTATGCACAATTGCCTTCACTCACCTCAGTAGTCTTTTTTTTTTTTTTTTGAGTCGGAGTCTCACTCTGTCACCCAGGCTGGAGTGCA